GTTGCGGTTATTGTTTTGTGAAAGTTTTTGATTTTTTTCTTTTCCCATTTTTTTGGTTTTTGGAGAGAGAGAGGAAAAGTTTTTTTTTCATATGCAAAAATGATCTGCAAAACTAAAAAGATAATCAACTTTGTGTTATATTAAAATGATTTACAATACTGTAACTAAATTAGATAATAAAATGATTTACATGTCTTATTTTCTAAATTTGGTAATCTAATTTTTTTATACAAATAGGCCTTATTATGTTATACGATATTAATGACATTTATTTCATTTATTTTATTTTTCTCATTTATTTTATTTACTTTATTTATGTCATTTATCTATTATATTTATTTTATTTATTTTATCTATTTTCTATATTTATCGTTATTAGTGAATATTTTTATATAAATAGTAGTAATCATCGATGTAAAAAGGATAAGAACCGTCTTGTTTTGAATAACTCTTTTGATAAATAAACTGTTTAGTACAGATGCGCTGACAGAGGCAGTACTAGTCTTTTGTTTATTAAATAATTATTTGTACTTATTTCACCCAGTTTATTGTAATTCTCTTTAATTTCTTACCTTGTATTTTTATCTTTATTCTTCGATATGAAGAAAACCTTCTGCTAAACTGTGATATCGTAAGTGATTTACCTATGATCTAAAGAACTGGTATAACGATAGAAAATAAAATAAAAGTTATGCTTTAGAATACTATTAGTGATAGGTAGAAAAAAGATCAGGAAGGCAGAAAAGTTCAGGAAAATATGAAAAAAGTAACATGAAAACAATATAGCCAGATGTGATTTAACACTTTATGTCTTATTCTCAGTAATCAAAAAAGTTATAAGTGGAATTGCAAAAATAATATAATATCAGTACTTTGTATCTTACTGGCAATCAAAAGTAAGTGAATAGATTGCATAGTATCTTAAGCAAATAAATAAATTGCAAATTCAGTATTTCGTATTTCATCTAATAATAAAGAAATGATAATTGAGAGGAAATTTTTAAAGCAACTATATAAGGGTGTTTTATTACTAATGCTGTAAGATGCAGTATAAATTTGCTTAATATTATTTTATAATTTTTAGCCAGAACTTTAAACATAATAATTCGATATCTAAGAAGTAATATAAAACTGATGAATCAATAGAATTACAGTAGTACCTTATTAGTTTCTCACCAGTTTTATAACAGTTTCTTACTAGTTCTTTAACAGTTCTATAACTATCATAACTAGTGTTCTGTAAAATCAGATCTAATCTGATTTTAACCAATCTAATCTGATCTGATTTTCATTTTTCAGAATCTGAATCTGATAGATCAAATCTTAAATTTAGATCTGACAGATCAGTTTAAATCTGATTTGAATCTGAAAAGTTTATTGAAAAATAATTTTTTAGTTTTAAAAGAAATCTGAAGTTGTTCCTTTTTAATGAAAGAAACCTTTTCAACTTTAAAAAAAGTCTGAAAAGTTGCTCCTTTTCAATGAAAAGAACTTTTTAGCTATAAAAGAGATCTGAAAATTCGTTTCTTTTTAATAAAAAGAAGTTTTCAGCTTTAAAAAATTGAATTTAAATCTGATAAATCAGATCTAAATTTATATGAAATACTAATTATGAAGTTAATCTGTAACCTAAAATCATATACCCAAAAGATCAGCCAGAATTATGACATAATATTAGCTAAAATAAAACGAAATTGATTACAAATTTACTATGTTATATAATGCCTTAAAAGACTACCAAATAGGTATAGAAGGAAAGTATCCTTAGCATTTTAACAAGTAATTAAAGAGGCTCAAAAATAGGTAAATAAATAGATAATTCTTTATTAATAAAAAGACTACAGAGCATTAAAATAAGTGGATAGTTAGAAAGTAATAAAAAGAGAATAAAGCTAGAATTCTGAATGAGTCAAGTCGAGTCGAGTTTAAAGACCAACTCTATTCGATTCATTTTTTTCAAGTCAAGTCGAGTCAAATTTATTTTATAAAATTTTTCGATTTGATTTGATTTGAGTTATATAAATTTTAAACTCAATTCAATTTGACTTAACTTGATTTTAACTCGATTCGATTTTGACTTGAATTTATTCAAATCGAGTCAAGTTCAAATCAAGTTATGAGTCAATTTTAAATTTTTATAAACATTTAATTAATAAAAAAATAAAATAAAAAAATAATAAAAAAAAAACAAAAAGATCGGGAGGGGGGAGGGGAGAGGGAAAGAAGGGGAGCGAATAATTTGTTATTATTCTTCTTGAATGATTTATTATCATTTTTCTTGAACGATTTTTTTATCATTCAAGTTGAACGATTTGTTATTGTTCGACTTGAACGATTTGTTATCGTTCTTCTTGAACGATTTTTTTTATCGTTCAAGTCAACTCGAGTCAACTCAAGTCAACTTGAATCAAGTCGACTTGATTTAAATTTGACTTGGCTTATCTGATTCGTGAGTTAATTTGACTTGTCTGAAACTCTAGACAGAGCAATAAAATCAAGCATATATCTATAAAGTAATAAAAAAGCTACAGAGTAATAAAATTAAGTAAATAGTAATAAAGTAATAAAAAGATTACAGAACACTGAAAACAGTAACTAGGTAATATTATACTTATAACTAGATAACATTATAGCATAACTGAATAATATTTTTATAAGAGTATTATTCAGTTTATATTATTATTTGTTGTTTATTTTTTTAATAGAAAATTAATCAATGAGTTTTGGTAATATTTTTATTATAAATTTATGAATTTATATTAGATTTTTATTATTAATAAATTTTAATATTTAATAAATTTAATTAAATAAAAATGTATTGATTTTATATATTTAATTGACTGAGTTAAAGTTGAATTGAATTCAATTTTAAGTTAATCTATTAATTTTAAATTAATACTAAATTGCTTGTTCAATTGAAGTCAATTGGGCTGATTTATAGTTGTTTAAGTTTCAAATTGATGCTAAATTACTTGTCTGATTAAAGTTGATTAGTGTAAAACTTTTCCTGTTCTTAATGACAAATTCTTAATATCTAAAATAACTGATTATAGATTCTTTATAGTAGGATACTTCTTTTTAATCAATTATTCAAATCTAAAACCAATTTTTCTTCATAATACTATAGGAATAATCACTGACTTAAATTATGCAAAAGAATTTAACTGAATAACATTCTCTATTAGAGAATTGATAGTTAATATTAACATTCTCAAACAAACCCATTACTTCTAAATAAATAGAAGCAATTTTCATTGTATTCAGTTTCCCATAAAAATTCTTTTACTCTTATATAAAATCCAAGGTTTAACACTACCCAAAATGTCATTGCTTTAGATGGAAATATATTTTCACCTGGTTAAGCCTATGTCATTCTCAGCAGTCCTATTTAGGAAATGTTGATATATTCCATCTCAATCATTTAGCCTTAATGGTAGACCAAGATGTCATTATAAAATATCAGAGGCTAGAAGATGCTTCTAAAGCAAGCCCTCAATGATTTCTCCTAGAATAAACCCTTACTAATCCCCTCAACATGAAATTTGAAAAAGTTTGATTACTACATACATTCCATTCATTATTTGATTCATCGATTCAAAAAAAATTTCTCGATTTCGTTTATTTCGTGTAACATAAAATAAATTACATAATATACAACTTATCTTTTACAAGAAAGATTTCGTACATCCGATATTAAAAACAACCTATTTATATTAGCGAAAGATCTACCAGATCAATCATCAAAAAATGTCACGAAATTTCACGTGATATATTTTGTCACCGGAGTCATTTCCCTCCGCGTTTCATTTTTACCAAGTATTTTGGGGACAGAGAATTTTTCAATACATACTATAATTCCAGCCAAATGCCGTGGTGCCGGCCATTTCGTGATAGGTACGCAGGGGAAGTCCGCAGTCACGCTTTCTATGATCATTAAGCCGCCAGAAGTGATAACAAAAAACTTCGGCAAGTTCTTGATTAATACAATCGCATTACATAATCATCACGTGCACAATACAATTATAACTTATGTCACATAAAATAGTAAAGCATATTTTCCAACATCATTAACAAATCACGAGCTCGAAACTTTATTAATTTTGATATACAATAGCTAATATATAAGACAGATATTTTATTAATTATTTCGCAGTTTGACATATATTCAAGACCTGGATATACTCATGTTTACTAATACTAGCTTCGTCAATAAAATCATCAGAAAAGTGAATAAATTATATATTAGAATCGTCCATACCATAATAGAAATTCCCTTTGACATTGCGGGTTTTACTAACAAGTTTGTTAAATTTGGGAGTATCTAGCGTTTTCCTTTTAAATAATGACTTCGTCTTTAATGGACAGTCCTTCATGAAAATTCCAATTCTGATTAGGTCAAGATGATTTTTGAAAACGTTATTTTTCTCAGCTGGTCCGGTCACTTCACCCACATAGATTACATTTGCTGATTGAGATTGATAGTTAACTGAAACAACAAAGTCTGGCTGTTTCGCCCTTAAACCATCAAATTTCCTTACTTTACTTTCCGATAAGGCTGTGTTTGACCATTGTACTATATGGTTGTCAGGAACATGGAATGCATTTTTCATGATGCTGTCTAAATAATTTGTTATTAGGGTTAATTCGCTCGGATCATTTCTTATCTTTTCATATGGCAGAGTTCTTATCAAATCTTGGATCAAAAATCCGAAATTATCCATCATTTCACTTTTTTCTACAAGCTTCCTACAAAGTAATTTGGTACCATTGATGCGCGATTCGTCCAGACATGTTTTGATAACACTTCTATATAAGTTCTCAATCTCTATATCTAATCGTAGAGTTATTTCGGTGTATATTTTTGATGAGTTAGTTCCAATAAATCTAAACCAAACACTTCAACCATTTTAATAGGGTAGGAGTTCGGTATGAGAACGAGTATAGATGACAACGATAAGATTTCGTGAATGTGTGACTCAACATATAAGCCGCTTCATTAATGAATGTTCTAAATTTTTCGGATATATTAATGCCATTTACAAATAAATCGGATTCCAAACTCTCCAATGGTGTAAAACTCAGAGGAACATTAGTAATAACACCGTTTTCAATGGAAATAACTTCATCGGAACTACGAAACCTTGTTTCATTAATAACTTTCACGCCCTCTATTACATAATTTTTCTCAGTATCTCTCTATTTTGGCAGGTTAAAGAATATAATCAACAAAAAATTACTTTTTTGGATAATCCTTGAAAAATGTTAATGTTAGAATGCTAACCTTTACACGTTCAAGAATAATTTCTTGAAAAAAAGGCATCATTTTTTGACGTTTATCATTTTCATCCTATAACAAATAATATATATTTGTTTAACAATAATATAAGTCGCAATGAGAGAGCACCGAAAATTGCAGCAAAACTTTTGAATCGGACTATATCATAAATATAACTACAACCCAAAAGCGCTCTTTACTCATCACTTGGGCGCCGAAAATTGCGGCAAAACCTCTGGATCGGACTATACCATAAATATAACTACAACCCAGAAGCGCCCTTATATTGATAAGTTAATAAAGTTTCGTAGCATGAAACCTTTTCTTACCTTATTAGCATGATAGATATATCTCCTAAACCATGCACCATCTAAGCCACTCCAGTCATCAGAATATGGTGGTGAAATTATGATTGTTTCTCTTATTTCATTTAAAAAATGTTTGTAGGTCCATGTTTCTCTATCGTTAGTTTTGAAATATTCTAAAACAACTGGAGAAATCCATGTAAGAGGATCAATTTATTGCCCGAGAACAAAACTAAAATCAAGCTTACCGTTTATTCCAGCATAGGGTTCCATTTTTTTTTCGTTTTTGATTCGGTTAACAGTTTTTGTCGTGCACCCATAGTTTTTGTCGCGTAATTATATGGAATCTTTTGTAGCGGAGAAAAAATTTACCACGTTATGATCATATGATGTCGTCATAGGCAAAAAATCATGTGCGTGTAACGCCGAATTATCTATGCTTCCTGAGAAATGTCTATAATTCGTAAATCTCCACGTTGTAATTGAGTCACATGATCAAAGTCAGGTGATCCTAGGAAATAACTTTCACACTTTACGGGAAGGCTTCGTTCAAGTATTTCGTTGTAAAAAATTTCATTTTATTAAAATGTTTGAAATTTTAGATAAACTTTACAATATTTCGATTAACAAAATTTTTAATATAAACTATATAAACTATCAGGAGCTTCCAAATCTCGATCTAAGTGAATCGATTGATTCCCTAAATTTTTTGTCAGATTCCCTTTTAAAATTAATTAAATCCCGTGTAACCGTAAGAATCCAATATGCATTTTATATCATTCGATGTTATTTTAAAAAATTGTACTTGTGTTGCAATGCAAATTGTAACTCTATTTTTTTTTTTCATCCGGAATTCTACAACCGAAAAACAAAAGCCTCAAAGAAATTCTTAGCTAATTATATATAAATATTACGCAGCCTTTTTACGCCTTTTTCATCCTTTTTTGTCAAACGAAAGAAAGTATGAAAACTCCAAGGTTAAGTAGTACTCGAAGTGGTTTTAAGAAAAGGAAGGAGCTTCTTTTTTTTGTTTGTTTTACCGAACGACTAACATAACGATCATTTCATAGTTCAAAGTACGTTAAAGGAAGAAAAAAAAGGGGTTAAATATATATATAAAAAAAAAAAAAAAAAAAAAAGTGATAATGATTGGGCTAATGAATGACAAAGTGGGGTCATGTAATATAAAAAAGGGTTCCTGCAAGTATTTGGAATTTCAAGCCAACGTTGATTCAAAAGATGAAGAAACAGTGGGTCTTTATATACTTCTTCAAGTCATATCCCTTACTTTCCAAAAATGAATAGGTAAGCTGTACAAACTTGATTGTGGTTGGGTGTACATAAAGTACCCCATTTTATTTTACAATATATTACTAATATAAATTACATATAATAAATTCTAATATGTATTGTTCAATCATTCAATCAGTCTATATTGGTCATTGAGTCAGCTTTTTTTTTTCATTTTTATACATTACTCATTTCTTTTTTCTGATGAACACTCATAATAATCACTATATAAACATAAAAATTCCATAACGCAACAATAATTGTTGTCAGGTTTATATACTTCTTCCCAGACTACATATTTTTTTTTCTACCTTTCTCTGGGAAGCTAAGAGATTAAAAAAGCATTTTTTTTTTTCTTCTGGTTTCATTCAACCCGTTCATTGTCGGTCTTAAAATAGAAGTATTTTCTTATTTATTAAGATCAAAAAGTCGATATGAATGGACATCAGTTTGCTTACTCGTCAGCGCCTGTAAGGCGAGTTAAATATGTACAATTTGGAATTTTATCACCAGAAGAAATTGTATGTTGTGGATTTAAAACTTTTCTCGTTGCTTTTCTCCAGTCTTAAATGTAATTTTTTTTCTTTTTTGATTTTATTATTTTGTTTCTATAGAAACAAATGTCGGTTGCTCTAATTGAACATCCTGAGACAATGGATGAAACTGGGCACCGGCCAAAACAAGGCGGTTTACTGGATCCTCGTATGGGTACTATAGACAGGAACTTTAAGTGCCAGACATGCAGTGAAGGCATGTCCGAGTGTCCAGGCCACTTTGGACATATAGAACTAGCTAAACCAGTATTTCACATCGGTAAAGTATTTATAATTATTTTATTTTTATGATACATTTTTCTTTCTTTCATCTATATTAATAGATACAAAAAAAAAGAATACCTGTATATTTAAATCTTACATATGAACATATGAGTCCTTTTTTGTTCGCCAAAAAAAAAAATTTCCCTAATTTTTTTTTTGTTTGAATGCTTTGCTTAAATGATTTCGTCATTTGTGTATCGTTACACGATATTCATTTTTATCACTTAATATCGCTGACAATTCTAACAATTTATTTGCATTTCATCAAATTTAAACAGGATTTCTACCTAAAGTCAAAAAGATCTTGGAATGTATCTGCATACATTGCTCAAAGTTGAAGACAGACGACGTGAGTTGTCTTCTTTTGTCTTTGTGGGGTATTGGTTTAATTTGTAAATCAATTTCACACTTTTATCAGTTTAATATTGATTCTTATACTTTTCAATTGTATATATTTTTTTTTTCGCGTTTCATTTGTACATATTAAAATAAAAAAAAAAAAAAAAAAAAAAAAAAAAAAAATGTCTTTCAAATGTTTTTCTTTGTGTATAAAATCTTCCTTATCTATCTTTCTATCTTTCTATATATTTTTCTATATTTTACTTACATACTTATATGTAGTCCAATGCAAAATTCGCGGTAGCACGCAAGATTCGTGATCCTAAACGTCGTCTCCGTGCAGTATGGGATATCTGTAAATCAAAGACGATATGTGAAAAAGGAGAAGAACAAGAAAATGACCCAGATAAAACTTCGGATTACGAAGATGATTATATTCCTAACGGCCAAAATAAACCAATTCCTCAAAGAACTACCACACCTGCAGAAGATTTAGGTTTAATAAAAGTAAAGAAACCTCATGGTGGTTGCGGTGCTCGTCAACCTACTATTCGCAAAGATGGTTTGAAATTATATATGAATTATAAAGCTCGAGATTCTGAAGTAAGAAATATAATTGATTTACTAATCGAAATTTCTTAACGAGAATCATTTAATCACTTATAAATCTATTATTTCATGTAGGAACAAACAGGCCAAGAGACCAGACAGGTACTTACACCAGCACAAGTATATACCATATTTAAGAAAATATCATCAGAAGACTTGATAGATTTGGGATTAAATGAAGAATATGCTCGTCCTGATTGGATGATCATAACATGTCTTCCTGTCCCTCCACCACCTGTTCGTCCGAGTATTCAAATGGATGGAACGAGCAGAGGTGAGGACGATTTAACACATAAATTGGCAGACATTTTGAAAGCAAATCAAAATTTACGCCGTTATGAGTCTGATGGCTCTCCGGCTCACGTTGTTAGTGAATTCGAATCTTTATTACAGGTGTGTATTTATTTATCTATTTAATAGTTTACATGGTAATATTATTCAAATGTTTTTAAATTTATTGCCTTTTCCTTTAGTTTCATTGTGCAACTTATATGGATAATGAAATGGCTGGTCAACCACAAGCATTGCAAAAATCTGGTAGACCTTTAAAATCAATTCGAGCACGTCTTAAGGGTAAAGAAGGACGTCTTCGTGGAAACTTAATGGGTAAACGCGTAGACTTTTCTGCTCGTACGGTTATCACGGGGGATCCTAACATATCAGTAGATGAAGTCGGAGTTCCGAAAAGTATAGCGTCAAATTTGACTTTCCCTGAGATAGTAACACCATTCAATGTTGATCTATTACAAGAGCTTGTAAAAAACGGTCCTACAGTACACCCTGGAGCTAAATATGTCATTAGGGATACCGGAGAACGCATAGATTTGAAACATACTTCAGGAACAAATGTAGTACGATTACAAAACGGTTGGAAAGTTGAACGACATATCAATAACGGTGACGTAATTATATTTAACCGTCAACCATCTTTACACAAAATGTCAATGATGGGTCATAAAGTTCGAGTAATGCCGTTTTCAACTTTCCGTCTTAATCTCTCCGTAACATCACCATATAATGCTGATTTTGACGGGGATGAAATGAATATGCATGTACCACAATCAGTTGAAACTAAGGCTGAAATTAAAGAAATATGTATGGTGCCAAAGCAAATCGTATCGCCTCAATCAAATAAGCCAGTTATGGGAATTGTCCAGGACACGTTATGTGCTATTCGTAAATTTACCAAAAGAGACTGCTTTCTATCTAAAGATTTGGTAATGAACATTTTAATGTGGGTTAAAGATTGGGATGGAAAGATTCCAATTCCATGTATCTTGAAACCAATACCATTATGGACGGGAAAGCAAATTTTGAGTATGATTATTCCCAAAGGTATAAATTCGGACAATTTGCGTCATTCTACTCATCCTGACGGTGAAAATACAGACATGTCACCTGGAGACACAAAAGTTTTGATTGAAGATGGGGAATTATTATGTGGAATTGTTTGTAAAAAGACGGTTGGCACCGCACAACAAGGTTTAATTCACGTAATTATGCAAGAATTGGGTCCAAATCGGGCAAAAGACTTTTTGAATGGATGTCAAGCTGTTGTTAATTATTGGCTTTTACAAAATGGATTTAGTATTGGTATTGGTGATACTATCGCCGATAAAGATACTATGGATAGTATTACACAGACTATTAATAATGCTAAAGAACGTGTAAAGGAAGTCATCTTATCCGCTCAACAAAACAAATTAGAATGCCAACCTGGTATGACAATACGTGAATCCTTTGAAAATCAAGTTAACAAGGAACTTAATACCGCGCGTGACTCTGCTGGTCGTAGTGCTGAGAAAAGTTTAAGTGAAGATAATAATGTTAAGCAGATGGTAATAGCAGGTTCAAAGGGTTCTTTCATTAATATCTCTCAGATGACAGCTTGTGTTGGACAACAGAACGTTGAGGGCAAACGCATACCTTATGGTTTCAAATTCCGTACATTACCACACTTCACAAAGGATGATCATAGTCCAGAAAGTCGAGGATTTGTAGAAAATTCTTATTTACGCGGCTTGACGCCACAAGAATTTTTCTTCCACGCAATGGGTGGTCGTGAAGGTAAATAAGATTTGTTATATTATTGATTAAATAAATTTATGTGATTCAAGCTTATTATCAATTGTTTTCTATTAGGTTTAATCGACACGGCCGTAAAGACCGCCGAGACAGGGTATATCCAGCGTCGTTTGGTAAAAGCATTAGAAGACGTAATGGTTAAATATGACGGGACTGTTCGTAATTCTCTTGGAGATATTCTTCAATTTTGTTATGGAGAAGATGGAATGGACGCATGTTACGTTGAATCTCAAAACATTGATTCTTTACCTATATCCAACGATACATTTGATAAAAAGTATTTGGTTGAATTACCGAAACCTGAGGAAAAGGAAAAGGAGAAAGAGGAAAAGGAAAAAGAGAACAAGGAGGAGAAAAAGAAACAGGAACTTGAACAAGAGAAAGCTAAAATTAAATCTCATGATGAAATAGTCAAAGATAAAATAAAGGCAGAATACGAACAATTAAAGGAAGACCGTCATCTATTACAAACTTTTATATTTCCTAAAGGTGATAACAGATGGCCATTGCCAGTCAATATCAAGCGTCTTATTAAAAATGCTCAGCAAAAATTCAAAATCATTCCTTCTCAAAGGACAAAAAGTGATTTACAATTTGTTGATGTCATAGATAGTATTGACGAACTTTTGTCAAAATTGGAGGTTGTTAAGGGTAAAGATAGAATTAGTGTTGAAGCACAATCAAATGCTACTTTGCTTTTCAAGATCTTGATACGATCATGGTTAGCCAGTAAACGCGTAATTGATGAATTCCATCTCAATCAACAAGCTTTAAAATGGATATTGGGTGAAATCGAGTCGCGTTTCCGAAGATCTCTGGTTTCTCCAGGTGAAATGGTTGGAACAGTTGCTGCACAATCTATAGGTGAACCGGCTACTCAGATGACTTTAAATACTTTCCATTACGCCGGTGTGTCGAGTAAAAACGTCACTCTTGGTGTACCTCGTCTTAAGGAAATCATCAATGTTGCCAAAAACATCAAAACTCCTTCAGTTCATATATATTTAAAGGATAAATATGGGGAAGAAATTGACCTTGCTAAAGAAGTACAGTCCTCTATTGAGTACACTACTTTGAAGACGGTTACTCAACGTACCGAGATTTGGTACGAACCAGATATTACAACTACTGATATCGAATCAGATAGAGAGTTTGTAGAATTGTACTATGCAATGGAAGACAAGGATTCCATTTCTGGTTATCAATCTCCTTGGGTTTTGCGTTTTGAACTAAACCATGATGTAATGCTTGATAAGAAATTACACATGGACATTGTTGGTAATAAAATTCAGGAAAATTTCTCTAAAGATATTCACGCCATATGGAACGATGATAACGCTGACTTGAAAGTTATACGTTGTCGTATTATAAGTGAGCCCGGTAGTACTAAAGATCACGTCGATGAAGAAAATGGTCTCAAGATCGAAGAAGATGTATTCTTGAAGCGTGTTGAAAACAATATGCTAACAAACATAGGTCTTCGAGGCATTAAAGGAATTCAACGTGTTTACTTGACTGATAGTAAGAACTCCCTCATATATCTTGATAAATTTGGTTTAATACAGAAAGACAAGGAATGGATACTTGAAACTGATGGTACAAACTTGCAAGAAGTTTTGAACGCTGAAAATGTAGACTATACACGTACATACTCTAACAATTGTGTGGAGATTATGCAAGTTTTGGGAATTGAGGCAACACGTGCAGCATTATTAAAAGAACTTCGTGGTGTAATAGAATTTGATGGTTCTTATGTCAATTATCGTCACCTGGCTCTTTTGTGTGATGTGATGACTTCGAGAGGTCATTTAATGGCTATTACTAGACATGGCATTAACCGTGCAGAAACTGGCGCTTTAATGAGATGTTCTTTTGAAGAGACAGTCGAAATCTTGATGGAAGCTGCTGCTGTCGGAGAAGTGGATGATTGTAGAGGTGTAGCAGAAAATATTATGCTGGGTCAAGTTGCACCGTTAGGTACAGGTGATTTTGATGTATTCCTTGACCCAATATTGTTGAGAACCACAGCACCTGCTGGAGATAGTGCAAGTGCAAAGGCTAAAGAAGGTTACGGTGTTGGCGATTATCGTCGTCCTGGTAGCATGACACCAGCTTTAGGTTCCATGACACCGTTTGGCGCTAATGCTCGTACACCTCATTTCGCGATGACACCCATGTATGGTGCCAAAACACCTTTATCAACTTATGATTCACCTGGACCTAGTTCGCCAGCTTTTTCGCCAGCTTTTTCACCCGCATTCTCACCCGTTCTTGAAGCAGGTGGTAAACCAGTATCAGTTGGTGGCAATTATAGTTGGCAAACGAGTCCATATAATACAGGAAGTCCAAGCTATGGACCAACGTCACCACAATATTCTCCAAGCTCACCTGCTCCGACGGCTTTTGCTCATTCTCCGGGTGGAAGTTCTTTTACACCTCAAAGCCCTGCTTATAGTCCAACTAGTCCTTCCTATTCTCCTTCTAGTCCTACAGGAAATTATGGTGGTGCTACAATGAGTGTTTCGAATTCGATGAATTCAACACAATCAACTTATAGACAGCAAGCAACAAGTCCTACTTATTCACCAACGAGTCCATCATATTCTCCTAGTTCACCAAGCTACTCACCAACGTCCCCAAGTTACACTCCTACATCGCCAAATTACACTCCAACATCACCAAAATATTCACCTACCTCTCCAAACTATTCGCCCACATCACCAAGTTATTCTCCAACATCGCCTAATTATACACCGACATCTCCTAGATATTCTCCTAATCAAGCACAATCCCAGCATTATTCTCCAACGTCACCAATATACTCCCCAACTTCTCCAAGTTATTCACCAACTTCGCCTCATTATTCACCTACTTCTCCATCGTATTCGTGAGTAAAAATAACATTCTTTTTGAAACAAAATTCTATTAAACATAATCTTACTAATTAAATTTTTAACTTTATTATTTTAGTCCAACATCACCTGTTTACACACCCTCATCACCAAGTGCGTCAGGAAGTTATGCGCCGTCAGGGTATTCTCCTTTAGGTGCCGGAACTGCACCAACTTATAGTCCAAATTCTTTAATAAGCCAATCAACGATTAGTAGCAATTCTCCTGCATCTCCTCGATATAGGTGAGCTTGGATTATTTTTATTATTTCATTTTATCTATGGTGTCTTTCTCTATCGACAAAAGCAGTAACAATTTTTACTTTCCGTTTTTTAGTCCGACTTCACCTTCCTACTCCCCATGAGAAGTGGAATTACGAAATTTTGAAAGGAATTAGAATGATTGTATTTGGTAATAATTCTAATATTAAAACATTATAGAAGGTTTAATTGCACGAATGAAATGTATGATTTTTTGAGATATATTTTTGGTTTAATGGAATTTTTTTATGATTTTCGATCATATAGAAATATTATCATAAAAGTAATTCCATTTAAACCGATATATGTATAATGTCGTTATATTAGACATCATAAAAAAAGAAAAAGAAAAAAAAACAATTACTTTATATCTTCACACTTTATAATAATTTTCTTTATTAAGGAAGGAAAAAAAAAAAAAAAAAAAAAAAAAAAAAAAAAAAAACAGTTAATTAATTTGTTTATATAGCTATAATTACTGGAAAATTTCTTTTTTTTTTGATTTTCGCTTTTTGGGGTTTTTATACATATATGCAAGTATTATATATAGCTTAATTTTTGAACCTTATTGCGAGAAAAAGAAAAAAAAAAAAAAAATAAATTTATTTGTATTTTTTTTTTTTTTTTTTTTAATTTTTTTTTTTAAAAAAAAATAAGGAAATAGGAGAAATAGTTTTTTTTTTTTGAGATAAAATTTGTTACTAAATCAAATTTTTCATTTTTAAAATTGATTAAATGATTATTTTAATTTTGAATTTATTTTATTTTTTTTTTTTTGATATTTAAAATTAAAAGCTTGTAAATTTAATTAAAATTATTTTGTTGACATTTATAATATTTATTTATTTATTTTGGATAACTGCAACATTGGCTAGGTTAAATAATTCAATAAGGAATACAATTATTTTACCAATTAATAAAATCTTTATTATATATGATGCAAAAAAAAAAAAAAAATCTATAACGTACAAAAAAAAAAAAAATAATAATAATAATTACTGCGCGAGATAAATATATATATGTGTGTGTTTTTAACTATTTACACTATATGTATAAAATTAGGGATTTATATTATGCAAAAAAAAAAATTTACCAATTACCTCCCACTTTGCCGATTATTATTAATTATTATCGGCTCTTTTTATATTTGTAACTCGTTTCTTTTGTTTTTCTGCTTGTTCGGATGCTTATCAATTTTTTATCTTGCAGAAAGAATTTCTTTTTCTTTCTCGAGGGTTTATTTGAATAAAGATGTATTCATAAATCTATAATATATATATTATTTATTTATTTATTTATTTATTTTATTACACCGCCTAAATTGCTCATTTAGACGCTGTTCAATAAAGTAAAAAAAGCACCAAAATAGTAATCAACACCGTCTTGGGGGGGGCTTAATCCCTGCGATAGCATGGCGTCCGGCCCTTACTGGTGGGTGTTGATTTTGGAGAGATTTCATTCCTTCTTTCGCCTTAGATGCAAGTATCCGCGCTTGTTCACGGCATCCATCAGGTGAGACTTTTGGATCAATATAATCTTTTTGTTCGGGTACTTCTTCTTTTAGTGGTGTTGGTAATGAAATCGTGTTATTATTTGCAACCACTTCTTGGTTGCTCTCAACAAGCATGTTTTGTTGCGGTGGTGGTTGTTTTTCAGATTTCACATCATCTGGGATAACGATGACAGAATTACTACTAGCCGATGTAAGAACGGTAGTGTTCGCTCCAACAGATGACGCTGGAGGGTCAATGATCACCACCTCTACTGATTGTGTTCCCGTTACATTTGATTTGCTTGGTGCAACCTTTTTACTCGGTTGTTCTCTATCTGCTGACGACTGCCGACGTTTCTTTCCAGTTGTTGAGCTTCCAGGTACTGCATTATCACGAGAATGTTTCTGAATTGGTAGTTTCAAGTCAGATGGGTTGATTCGAGGTTGAAGAATGCTCTCAACTACTTGAGGCTGTGGACGTTGTTGTTGTTGTAAAGTTGGATTAACATTAAATAACGTGGTATCTTCGATACCCCTTCTTTTACTGTCCACGAATACAAAATACTTACGGAACTGTTGTAATAAACTATCGACAAGTTCAAGTCTCAACAAAAATTTATCAGGTAGAGCTTTTATTTGGTCCTCAATCATGTATTTCATTCCTAAAAGGCGATAAGTGCCTTGACTTGATCTAGTGTAATGCCAAAAGTATGGTAATACATTGTCTACTTCATGATACATAGGATCTAATTCTTTTAATTTATCCATTATCTTGGCCTTTTCATCGTCAGTCAAATCATGTATTTCGTGATATTGGATCCTTCGTTCCTTAGCACGAGCGTCGAGAGTTGAAATCTGATTATTTGCTTCCTGAGCTTCTTTCTCATTTAAAACTGCTAATCCCGCTTGCGTTACAGATGTAGATGAAGATGATCCTACATTACTATTTTGCGCCTGCATCATACCGACCTGTACTTGTCCTTGAGGACGAGCATTATTCAAATTAACCATTTGTGTTTGAGGGCCCATCATTTGAGGGGGTCTAGCAACTGCAATTATCGGATTAGCAAGCATTGTGTTTAACTGATTTGCTAACATTGGACTGACTCCCGGATTCTGAGAGGAAAGTGCCGCTACATTATTATTCTGTTGCATCATAGCAGCAGCATTCACAGCAAGCAGAGGATTTGCTGCGTTATTGTTAGACATCATCAATTTATTTTGATACAATAAATTTTGCATCATAGGACGTTGAAGATTATTAATTCCGGAACTACCTTGTGGTAAGATACCAGAATTTGCCTGTGTCATCATTCCAGTATTTTGTGGAATTACTGGAGAATTAACGGTCATATTAGATGTAGCTTGAGCTTGTGTTGAAACTCCTTGAGCAGGGGGAATATTTGGATTTTGTTGTAACACTGGGCTTACTGAAAGGATTTTGTTCCCAACAACGTTAGCATTTCCTTGAACCATCATCTTATTATTAAGTTGCGCTGCCATCATTTTAGGTGTTTGATTCCTTGAAGGTCCTTTGGATTGAGGTATGTTCGTTTTAGTTGTCATAGTTACGGGAGACGTGACGGTGTTCGCAGAACCAACATTCAAGTGATTAATTACAGCAGTATTGGACATATTTGGCGTTGGCATTCTTGACATTCTTGGAGAAATCTTCATAGGAATCCCATTATTAACAATGGCGTTTGCTGCATTAGCATTGTTGGCGGCATTTACAACATTAAAAGGTTGACTCATTTTTAATAGATCGAAAGCATCTTGGGCCGCAGATTGTTGTGGTGTTTTTGGTGGATTCATAATGGGTGTTTGCTGTTGTTGTTGTTGTTGTTGTTGTTGTTGTTGTTGTTGCTGTTGTTGTTGCTGTTGCTGTTGCTGTTGCTGCTGATGGTGGTTAATTTGCGCCTGAACTGCTTGAGCCTGAGCTTGTGCTTGTGCTTGTGCTTGCTGTTGACGTTTGCTCATCTGACTTACAAAGGAATTGACCTTTATTAAAAGTTCTTCGGTCAATGGAGTTTCAGGACTGATTTGTAAAAGGTTCATTACATGTTGCTGCATTGGGTTTAAATTGAAACGAAATTGATTTTGCTGTGGTCTTGGTGATGATGATACTTGGGGGCCAGTTGGACGTGAGAAATTTGCTTGTAACATTTGTGGATTTAGTTGTTGGGTCATTTGTGTTGCTTGTTGTCCTGACTGCTGTTGCGTTACTTGTCTTTGAGCTTGTTGCATGACTTGCATTTTGTATTGATCTTGGATTACCTTTTGATGAAGCGCGGGATTTTGTTGCAGCATTTGAAATAATTGTTGTTGTTGTTGAGGGGTTGACATCTTCTGCTGTTGTTGAAACATTGATAGTATTGCATTTTGCTGTTGCTGCTGATGCTGTTGTTGTTGTTGTTGTTGCATCATAATTTGTCGTCTCAATTGTTGTTGTTGTTGCTGTTGCTGTTGCTGTTGTTGTTGTTGTTGTTGTTGTTGTTGTTGTTGTTGTTGCTGTTGCTGTTGCTGCTGTTGTTGTTGTTGTGGGATAGCAAGTAAAGACTGCGGTAATAAATTTTGTTGCTGTTTAACAGCTTCTTGTTGAGCAACTTGTTGGGCAGCAGCGGCCTGTTGATTCTGTTGTTGCAGTTGCTGTTGCTGTTGCTTTCGTTTTATAGTGGTTTGCATAGTCGAAAATTTTGTAGTTATCAATCGATGGTAATCTTCTTTGGAAAGGGCATTATTAAACGCATCTTCCTCCCACTTCTTTGCAAGAAGGAATCTTTGATCTTGATTACCACCTGAGTTAACAAATTCAAAAAGCTTAAAGAACCGACTAACAATTTTTTTACGTTCGTCATCCGGCAACGCCATACGCCAGTCCATTGAAGAGGAGGCGGCGGCGTTGATGTTCATTTGTGGTTGGTTGTAAAAAGACATAATGAAAATGTTTTTATAGTTTTTGAAAAAGACAAAATTAAAACGTAAAAAAAAAAAAAAAAAAAAAGAAAAAAAAAAAAAAAAAATTTTTAGTTATTATTGACTTTTAAAGCACCACAAGAAAAAAAATAACGCTTTGAAATTTTTTTTCCCCTTTTTTTTTTTTTTAAAAAAAATACGAGTTGAGTGAAATATAAGAAATTTTTTTTTTTATTAATACGAAAAAAAGACTTTAAATGAAAGACAAGAATAATAATGTCTTTTTTATTCAAAGTTAGGGAATAAAGAATTTGTCAAATGGAAAAATAGACTGACAATCCTGATATACTTATACATTAACGTAGTTTATATATAAAAAAAAAATTCCGATTAGGAAATCACATGGGTAATTCCGTTATGTCCGCAGAATAAAGTGGGTAATACAGATGCCACAAATATTTTTTTAATCCCCAGCTTTTTTTTTTTTTGATTGAAAATTATTAGATAGTATTTTTTCGAAAGGAAGGAAAGAAGGTGAACATTCGGAAAATTTACAGATTTAATGCGTGAGAGTTAAGACGCCTTTGTTTGGTTACATTTGACAATGGAATACATATTTTTTTGGATCTTCACTTAAAAGTCTTTTTAATCAAATTTGAATGCTGAAGTTATACGTTTGTTCTTTATATGCAATAGAAAGTCGACTTCTAAAATTTTCCTATTTAAGTTTGTAATAACAGAATACGAAAAAAAAAAAAACGATTTTCTTTGACATTCAATTATTTCATTTTCCCTTAAATTACATAAATAATATAATAATAATAAAAATCATAATCATTATTTTTAAATGTTTAAATTAAAAAAAGATATTCTTCTTGTACAAGTCATTTATTTTCTTTTTTCAAACTTCACTTTTTGATTTATTAATTTATTTTATTATTTATTTATTTATTTTGGTTAGTTTCGAGCATTATTTCAAAATAATAAAATAAAATTCCTTTATGGCACGTGACACGTCTACCACTCCTAACAAAAAAAAAACGAAAAATTTCCCCTCTTTCTGACCAATCAATGAGCCTTGATTAATATATAGATTATCAGGAAATTATTAAGAAAAAGAAAAGATGTCTCAAAAACAACCACCTCTATCTACAATTAAGTACTCACAAGGGATAAAAGGGAGAGAAAGGATAAATTATGATCACAAAAGTGGAAGTGTTCAAAGTCAAGGTGCTAGTACTGTAACAAAACCTGTTTCACCGAGAGTGAATACGCATACTGGTAAAACGATTAGGACGCAAGAAATGAAACAAAAGATTGTTTTCAAATCTGTTCTCGATTCTCCGTTTAATATAAGCTGGCAAGTATTTAACAGAAATAGGAAATGATAATATAATAATAGACTAAATACCATATTAATAATACGAATCATTTCCTTTTAGGCCCGATGTTTCAATTAAAGATCAAAATGAAATCTTGGATGCCCTTTGCGAGTGAGTTTATGAGAAATCATTTGCCCAAATTAAAAATTTATATAAATTCAAAAGTGCCATTAACGTATTAATAAATTTCAATTTTATAGAACTTTATCAGTGATAGGAGAATATAACAGGGCTGCAAAGAGTCAAAAAAGAAAATCTAATAATAACCTTAATAATGTGGTCGAGGTTGAACTTGATGATACTAACGTTGATGCATCAATAATTAAAAAGCGATCACTAATACCGCCACCAATTCTTTCTAATATATA